ACCGTATAGCCGGCGTCTGAAGGAGAAGAAGCTTATCCAATGTTGACTGTGACGTTTGACCTCACGAGCTAATTCTATAGGTGAGGTAAGGAAAAATAAGAGACTGATATAACTTGACAATAATAAAATTAAAAGGGGTACAAGGGGTACCAAGTGTCTCAGTTTAGCTACCATGCCAACGGTCTTGCTAATTTTTAGAGCAATTAGATCAATATGAACTTTCCAGTTAAGATTCTTGTCAATAATTATGTCAAGAAATTTTACATAATCTTTACATTCTAACGGTGAATATGACATTTTATCGTTGTCAAAAATATCTATCGTTGGTGATTTCGAAATATCACATAATTAGATTTCTTATAATTTAGAGCTAGTTTGTTCCCTGTCAATCATTCGCAGGGTTTGTTTAACTCAACATTTACCTCTATTTCTAGGGATTTAAGGTTGTTATTACTTTACAAGATTATGGTGTCATCAGCAAATAAATAAAACTTGAGCTTATCTGAATAGGTTGTGATATCATTTATATGCAACAAAAAGTAGAGGCCCCAGAACAGAACCATGAGGAAAGCCGCAATCCGTGGGAACCTTTTCAGAACTACGGGGGCTAACATTAGTTGTCTATGAACGCAATTTAAGATAACAGAAGAACCATTCGTTGACTATCCCTCTTATTCCATAATGATACAATTCTGCAGAAGAATTTCATGATTTACTGCATCGAATGCCTTCTTTAAATCAATAAAGATGCCACAGGTATACAACTTACTGTCCATGTCATTTTGAATAGTGAATAGTGTTAATAAAGACCGCGATGAGAGGCCAGAAAACAACACAAACATGGACAAAATGGATCAATTTGTAGAGGTAATTTAAAAGCAATTCTGTGTAACTGTCATCTCTTTCAACAAGAAAACCTTTGGTGCCATCAGGAGTCCAAACAACATAGTGACATCCTTGAGTGGATGTGCAGAACTTTTTCCAACATGATTTGCGGGATATGGTGGACACACACATTTTGGTAAGGAGTTAGTCTGAATCCCATGAAAGGAAATTTAATCTCCAGAACTGTTTTCCTTTAACCACTGAAGTCTATAATTTCATCTGGTGAAGAACCTTGCCAGTTTCTCTTACAATTAAATTATCTGTATTTTTGGCTCAAAAACTTTTTAGGTAGGTGACAAGAGTACTGTCTTCACTGATAGAACCCTATACCCTTGCCAAATTTGATTAATTTGGTTGTTTAGTTATACGATGTTAATCATAAGACAAATCATTCTTAGCTTGCCCAGTAATCATTCCTTTCCTTATTCATCATCACCATAGTTAGCAGTAATGGTGGTGGTAGCAGCAGCAGCAGCAGCAGCAGCAGCAGCAGCAGTAGTAGTAGTAGTAGTAGTAGAAGAAGAAGAAGAAGCAGAAGAAGCAGAAGAAGTTTTATTTTTACTATTTACTTAACTTCAAAATTTTTGTTTTAGACGCTCAGCGTATACAAGAAATACGGAAGAGTATCATGAAGGATTATTTCCTGACACATAAGTTTGACCAAAATCCTTCAGCCAAAGGGGAAAGCTTTGCATATATTTTCGTTGACGGCCAATTCCAGTTCATCTCCAGTTCAATCGCGAAAGTAGCAAGTGCGAAAATGAAAATGATATTTGCAGAGCTTTGTGAGAAGACTTGGAGAAGTGATGAAAGTATAATGTAACTGATGAAGGGGATATAAAAGAACCAACGCTCTAATTCAAAAAGAGTATGGGTATAGTAGTTCCCCAGTGATGTGGTCTACCACCACCTCTATCATCACTTCAATTATCCAACATATATAACACCGTAGCTCTCAAATGGACCTAAAGGGGCAGCCATTATATTACTTTTTTAATAACATTATCAAATCCTAAAGGGTACTGTAAGTTTTACTGGTATCCTCTTCAGTTCAGCCCACTTTGAGTATGCCACCATGCCAAAAAAGGGTTTGAGTGCATAGGCTATACATTGTATATCGGTGTAATTGTATATAGTGTATAGGACAATGTCTGAACTCCAAGGCCTTCTTGAAAGTAGTAATGACCTCCTGTTCCACCTCAGTGACCTGCTGTTCCATTTATTGAACAATTATATTTCCACTGAATTTTCGTTTATTGTTTCAGGTTCATTTTTTGTACGTCGTTGGGTAAGAAAGGGCAGAGGGGCTAAAACCTCTTTATAATTACACAGCAGAACATAGAGTGATGCGTTTAAAGAGTTAATTTAAGTTCGATTTTGTTCGTGATCCCCTCCATCGACTGCTTTCGGCTTTCAAAGACAATTTCATAGGAAACATCACCTCAATAAGTACATCTGCTCGAGACAAAATAGTTAAAACCTATCGGCTTTTCCCGAATTTATAAAATAATACTCTAATAACAGATTGCGCGATCATCTTTGGCGTCAATACGTTATTGGGAGGCTGGACACTTGGGCAGAGGAGGGCCCATTCCTACTAAAAATGGCGGGACTCAGTGACCGCGTAGATTCCCGCCAGTCCACCAACATACAAGCGTTAATGAGGTACTGAAGTATGACTCTAAGTTTCCGCCTGACGACATCAAGCAGATTGGACGACAGTATTTTAGCGATTTTGCGATGTTCCTAGGCCGTGTAAAGTGAATTCTGAAAAACTCTTGATTTAAGAAAGTCACTCCAGCTAAGAGTCGACAGTGACCATCCCCATGACTCGATCATGAAATGACATGGGAAATGTGAAAATGAACGTATATAAGAACCAAATAGTGACAAAGTAGGATAATGACCACGATGAGAGGCCAGAAAGCAACACAAACATGGACAAAATGGATCAATTTGTAGAGGTAATTTAAAAGCAATTCTATGTAACTGTCATGTCTCTCAACAAGAAAAACTTTGGTACCAACGGGAGTCCAAACAACATAGTGACGTCCTTGATTGGATGTGCAGAACTTTTTCCAACATTATTTGCGGGATATGGTGGACACACACATCTTGGTAAGGAACTGCATCCCACGAAAGGAAATTTAATCTCCAGGACTGTTTTCCTTTTCCATTAAAGTCTATGATTTCATCTGGTGAAGAACCCTGGCAGTTTCTCTTATAATTAAATTATCTGTATTTTTGCCTTAAAAACATTTAGGTAGGTGACAAGATTACTGTACTAATTGGTAGACCCTTATAACATTGCAAATATCATTCATTGGTTTCTTTAGTCATACGATGTAAATCATAACATAAATCATTCTTGCCCAGTAATCATTCAATCATGGCCTTCTTCCCATGTTCCATCCAAGGCTGAGGTGTCTCTGCCAGTTGCTTCCATTGATTCCCCCTTACGAGCATTGAACCACCAAGCTCTTCTTTGTTTTTAAAATTTGGGATGACAGTTACTTGAGTTTTCAGAAGATATGGATTCGTAGAATTGAAAACCATCAAGGCTCTTTACAGATAAATTACCAAGCAATTTTTCTAGTGATCTACAAGTGTGGTACCATGCAGACTTTACTACTGGTCATCCTTTTTAATTTTGTTTGAACATGCTACTCTAAGGTGGCCCTTTTTGCCACATAACTAGCACTTTTGCTTGACCAGCCACTCTGGTTCATGTCCTTCGGACCGTCACTTGCTCAGTGACCTTGTTTATGGCACCGAAAACAAACACCGCTTGATTGTGTAGTTGAATTCAAGTTTGCATTATGTTTCTCATATAACTCTTTTTTAGCTTTTGTCGTAAGGCAGACTCATTCTCTTCATGTTTTGTTGCAAGGCTATCTCTAGCGAAATATGTTACACAACTTCTTTTTGTAAATTTTCTAACCAAGCAGAAAGTACCTGAAAGTGCTTGAAAATGGTGTCCAAAGTCATTGAAAAGGCTGTGGCAGTACAGTTAACAGCTTATGTTTCTTCCCGGCCACCACCAACATGAAGGGTTACAGTCAGCTTACAAGCTCTAGCATTCTACTGAGACTTCACTTATAAGAGTGGAGAATAAAATTCTTTGTGCCATTGACAGTAACCATTCATTGATTCTCTTATTATTAGATCTTTCTGTGGCTTTCGATACTTCAGATCATTCTATTCTGTCATCTATAAAAACAAAGTGCTTTTAATCCTGACAAGTTCACAAGAGATAGTTACATTTTGTCATTTTATCCTCTTGTGGTAGTGTCTATAATGCCCACTTTACTGTTGCGTGGGTTTGGTTGACATAGCCTCCTGCGATTTATAACTTTTCCTTGTTTCATTTAAAGTGTTTTATGATGATATATTAAACTTCAAAACTTTTACAGTTCAAGTAAATGACAAAATAATTTAATTTATTATTTTATTAATCCAGATAACATTTTGCTAGTTTTGTCGATGTTATGAACCAACGGTTATTGGGGTAAATGACTTTTCCTTAAGAATATTATATATTAAGCTAATATGGATGTTTCTATATTTCATTCAAATGATCATTATTTCTTTACAACGCCTGCAGTCGCGGATGCTTTTTATTATAACATAATTTCCAACACTTTATTGTTGATTTTCTACACTTTCAGCGCTTTTTCTTCTTCCTAATGTTCTTCCAATTATATATCTTTTCGTTCAAATATTAAACCGCACTGTTTCAAAAAAGACATTAATTTGAAACCTCCCGGCACTGAAAGGGAAGGTTTTTAAACGTAAACCCCAAGGTCGATTATTTCACTGAAGAGGATAGCGCGGCGTTGTCAGCTGAGATAAGGATAGAAATTGTGATAGAGAGATAACTTTGCTTGCATAGGCAATTTAAAACTAGAGCCATGTATAATGCCTATCGAACGAGAGGGGTTTTCAAAGGATTTAAAATATCTCAAAATGAAACTTCGGGAAAAGGCCTACAACCAAAACTACTCCTATACATATGAACAAAAACCACGGGGAAATGGCCTTTTTACCAGAGAGGAAAAACGAACAAATGTCAAAGTCAGACTGAAACATGAAGAACTTAATTTTGGAAAGGAGAGATGAAAGGGGAAGAGAATATGAGGGAATGGCGTCGCCTGGAAGAACGCCAAGATCATAACGAAGGACACAAGGATAGGACAAAGGAAAGATCAAGAGAGAATCCAAACGCTGCGTGGAGAACACCCAACAACTTCAGCCAACTTGAGAAAGTAACGTAAGCTCGTCCTGTATACCTTTTAGTCAGTTAGAATGACCGTGTTTTTCCCGGTCCATAGACGTCACATATCGAAGCCAAGAAATTTTCCGGATGGGTCTTCCCGCGTCATGTTCGACCATGAAATTCGATGTGGTATCTCTCACAACAAGGAAGTCATGGTGCCGACAGGAGTCTAAACAACGTAGTGTTGTTGTTAATTACATGTAGAAAACATTGTTAAAACAATTCAGTTTAAAGATGTGGTAGGCACACACAGCCATGACTCCCAGGAAAGGAAATTTTATCTTTTTAAGAGCCAAGCCATGATGTAAGTATTTGTTTCCTTTTTCGTCGTTTAAAAACCTATATAATCCTAGATTCTCTAATAACCGAATAATCTTTGTTAGGTAAATAGACTGACAGGCCTTATAAGAACCTCATTAAATTACCAAACTTGGTTCACTTCAGCGTCAATTTTGCTTCAATTCTTTAATTATCTTTTGTAAATCACTGGAAAAATCATTCTGATAGTCAAACTTGAGCATCTCCCATTCCTGAGAGGAGCTCTTGGTTGCTGTCTTACTTCCATTGATTTCCCCTTTCAAGGATTAAAATTCTCAGCGGTTCTTTTCCTCTGTAATTTGTGATCACAGGTATGGTGTACTTGCAATTCTAGAAGTATCGATCGATCTGTCTTTGACTAGCATTTAAAATCATCAAGGCTGCTTATCAGACAAATTTCCAAGTACCTTCATAAATGCGGGTTTATTTTTTGTACTTTAGGCTGACTATCATATTCAAGTTTGCTTGCACAATTTAAGTTACTTTGAGAGGGGTCTATTCGCCATAACGATAACACAGTTCCTTGGCCAGCAACATTGGCTCGTGTCCTTTAGTACATTCAGATGCCCAGAAAACCTCGTTAATGGCTCTAAAAGTAATTATCAGTTGATTATGCCTTTGATTTGATATATTAAACATCGTCGTAACTATGTTAAGGTTTATCACAGGCTGGTAGCCAACGTAAATCATATGCAACTTTGAGTTCGACCGTTTCTTACAAGAACGACTCAACAATATACCAAGGAAAGGAACACTTAAATGGGAAAGAACAGTCTGTAGGATGACTGTGTGGAATTAGAATCAATGCTTCCACCGACAGTATGGTCAGCCAGAGAACAACCACTAGATAACAGAATTTCCCACCACCAGAGTTTGGTTTGTAACAAGGTCTTTTTCCTTGATGCTAACCGCCATACATAAGTTGCGCTGAAGAGAATTTGGATTCCGGCTTGAAATGTAAGCAAGTCCTATGAAAAGGTTAATTCACTCAAATATAATTGAGAAAAATAAGAACAGAATGAGGAAACAAGATAATCTCCAATAAATGATTCAGTGTTTGGTTGTACTTTACCATTTAATGCTTTAAACAGGAATTGTTGATGAGTGACAGTTTATTAGTGCAATGATTTCAACACAAATAAAAGTAACAGTTGAAAGAAATTGACCAGGTTAGTGTACACTGGTGTAATGAAATTGCCCAGCTGTTGTAAACAGAAGCATACTGACAACAGCGGAAGTACGGAAGCACACCGAAATTCAAAACAGCTGATTTGTTGAATGGACAGCCGCCCTACTTATCATAGAGGAAGATTCAGTGTTATTACCAAGAAAAGTAAGATCACATTTTCTCACATTTTCATTGCCGAATTAATCCGCTCTACATTTTTTACTAAGCAAAATAATCATTTTTATAACAGTCTTTTGTATTACCTTAACATTGAAGCCATTTTTCTTTGACTGCTCTGATTATTAATTAAATATAACTATTTATTTATCATATTAAAACTGGTTTTATGGTTACTTGGTGTCACACTGCATATTGTGTTCAGCACACCAGATTTGAAAACCAAACCGTTTTCTTATTACCTTTAGCTAAGGCAAGATGTCTTTGGGAGAATGAAACAACACCAAAAGCCTCACAAGTGCAATACCACACGACAGATTGGAGTTAAGTCATGTCTTCAGTTTTGTATTATCTGATTGTCTTTTTGGTTGACCCATGTTTTGTAGGTTAAAAATCTAAAAATGATTCCCCGTGAGAGCAATAAAGGCTATATAGCAAAAACAGGGAGATGTGTCGGCACGAGAGTACGGAACAAGACAAGGATCGTTATATGACCTTTCCGTACCCATAAACCGCTGTTGCTGAAAAAGCCCATCAGAGCGGCTTGTCTGGTCAGCTTTTGCGAAGAGGCAATGTGGATTGTTGGCACTCACAAAGGTCAAGCGGAAGCTATCCACACAAGATCTAACCCTGAAACCTCAACAGGGATTAGGCCCTGAAAAATGAATTCACCCGG